AAACGCTACCCCCTTGTTTGCAGCCGTCACCGTTCATCATGCTAACGACCACAAAGTTATGCCATTGAGTGAACAGTAACCGGATTACTGTTCATCTCGCGAATAATACCACCGACCGACATCTTCTGGTATTAGCTTCAATGTCCGGTATTTCTTTGATGAGATTGAGATCTTTAGACTCCTATTCTCTTTTAAGCAAGGTGTCTGATTTTATCTTTATTCTCTTAAAGGATGCCGACATCAAGATCAAATTGGTGAACAAGCAATGGGTCGATTAAGGATTTTTCTTTTTCTCTTATTACTATTGGCTTACCCGCCTAGGGTTACTAGGGGCTTACTTTGGCTTACCCGCTTAGGGGTTTCTTTTGGCTGTGACTATGCTTGTCTGTTTGCTGACGTCTTCAAGTATTACGAGCAAAGATGACATTATCAAAACTCTTGCAACTAGGTGTTTTATTTCCATTGCTAACAAACTAGACATATATGGCATATATGCTTCAGTTTGGGGGGGGGGGGGTGTTAGATATTACTAGTATTGAGATTTTAGTAGACATTATAAGATATCGTGAGATGTGATTAGATATGATTTTATCTTATATCTATTTTGTAATATTCTCCTAATCTCTATTTCAGAGAGGTTAGGGTTAGATGAATAATATCTTGGCTTTTTCTAATTTCTCTACAATAATATGTTGTGTTGCTTGTGCTATAAGCCAAATAACCACCATCATAAGAAATAATAACGAAAAGTAATGGACCTTGAAACAAATATAGAAATTGGTATACATGAATTATCATGCTACAATGACTATATTCCAATACCTCTTGCAAGCTTATATGAAGCTTATGATAAATAACTGCCTAAAAACTGTGTACAAAATGCAAGGAAAGGTGATAGACTCTTCAAGAGTGAGGATGCATGATTGTAGCATATAACTGATAGCTCTCAAATAACATATATGCACGGTTGGGGTTTGTCGTAAAATTTGACGAGTTCACAATGTTGCACGAAACACTACACCTTGGTTTAAAGAAACTCTAAGTGAATTATCAACGATTTGTCGGTTTTGGGGGCCTTCCACTATGATAAGTTCAATTCTAAACCGGTTATCATTTTTGGATATTTGTCATCGATAATGCGGCGATAAAGCGAGTTATCGGCCGATATTGTCAGCCCAAAAAATCAGTTTATCGGCCTTTGGTTTGACTTTTAATTACGGGTACCTATTCAGTGCACTTTAAACCTGACCCGACCCGAGTTCCTACCATTAGTTAGTGATCCTAAACATAATTATTTATATTTTGGTATGTTTATATTTTATTAATTATGGTTAGATTATATTTTAGAATATTATATTATGTATATCACCATCCGGTAATGTCACTCCGATAAATACTACTTATATTTTAGAATATTATATTATGTATATCACCATCCGGTAATGTCACTCCGATAAATACTACTTATCACCGATATATCCCTGATATCCACTATCCGATATGGATTTTGACCGCCCGATAAATCCTCGATAACCGATATTAAAGCCTTGCTTGTTAGTTTTGATGGCTTCCTTTGTCATTGTATCAATATTTGGTGACAATACATTATTATGCTTGTGATTATGAACTTATGAGCATTGTATGTATAAAATGTCGGCTGTTATACATCAGGTTTTACACTAGCCTGCAACTATATTTACGAGTTTGTCTCATTTTCTGAATTTTAAAAATTATTCCCCAATATATCCGCTGATTTCGGTTATATCGGCTGGTATATTGTGTCACAAAAGCGGGCGAAATTGGGTATTATTTGGGTTTGTGTTGTGTGGGTGGTTTTGGGTTCCTAACCCAATTCAAATACCAAATAAAACCCCCTCTCCTTTAGAATTAAAAATCACCATCTCAAAAAAAAAAAAAAAAAGGAAAACGAAAGAAAGAAAGAACATCTCAAAAAAAAAAAAAAAAAGGAAAACGAAAGAAAGAAAGAAAAAAAACTTTGTTCTTTCTCCTCTCTTTCCGCCGGTAAGTACTCATGATGCAATTGGGAAGCAAGTTTCTTCCATCGGTTAGTCATCCTAAACATATATCATGATGCAATTTTTTTTGTTTAGGATTCATTAAATATGTTTAGATTACATATTAGAATGTTATGTATGAATATCATCCAATATGACACCATGATATCTTTTACATATTTCTGATATATCCGCGATTTCCGCAATCCAATGTTGATTTTGATTATCTGATATTTATCCAATATCCGTTATTTAATACATTGCTAATGACTTGTGAAGAATGAGGTGAGTTTGAAATTATGGAGGTACGTAAAGTTGTGATATATTTGAATACGTATTGTGGTACTTGCTAGTAAATTAATACAAAGTTTATCTTCAAAGTTGTTATTATAAGATAAATTTTATATTTTGAAAATATAAAACCATGTTTCTATTTATTAAATTACTATGGCTAATTTTTTTGTTTTAAATTGAAAAACAGTGTAACCTACATTATGTGTAATGTTATGTGCACTTTAAGCTATCGCGTGAATGGACATTACATGATATTTTATTGTTATATTCAACATTGGTCTTAGTTGGGTATTTTGAAATTCAGGAAGCCATGGAGAAAGCAATCAAAAATAAAGTTGCAAAAGCGGTCGTGCCAGCTATTGATGTCATGTTTCAAGCTCTGAGGTTTGCTTTTGCTGTCACTTAATCTTGAACGCTCCACTTTTCTGCATTTTTATTTATTATCAAGTAAATTTGAGCTTTACCATTTTTCAATGTTTTTTTAATATCCAGTGAGTTTGGTTCAAAGGTTATCCCTCCCAAGAAAATTCTGAAAATGCTCCCAGAACTTTTTGACCATCAAGATCAGAACGTACGTGCGTGCTCTAAAGGCCTGACACTTGAATTATGCCGCTGGATTGGCAAGGATATAGTGAAGTCTATTCTGTTTGAGAAAATGAGAGATACCATGGTGAGTAATTTTTTCTCAGCATCATGAATTTCTTTTCATATTATGCATATGATTAAGTGCGTCTCTTGTATTGTTTAAAGAAAAAAGAGTTGGAAGCAGAGCTAGGTAATGTCACAGGGAGTGCTAGACCGACTCGGAAAATAAGGTATATTCTATATGTGCGCACACGCGTAAACACATTATATTTCTCTTAAAGATACTGGTCATCTGCACATATTAATCTTTTTGAAAACTGGGTTACGCTAGTAAGTACAGGAAGGGCCAATTCAGCATATGAAATTTTGTTCTGTTTATTTATTTATTTATAAATGCAGCATGTATTTAGTTTCTGCAAAATAATGAGAGTATTTGTTCGGTTAACTGACTGTTGCATGTCATCTGTAACTGTTTTTGGCCTTCTGTAATTTCCTTTGGTTAAACTTTCTTCAGTTGGTGAATTTGGACTTGGTTTCTGAATATATTTGTTGAGAACTTGCATTCAAGCTATATAGATTTATCAACTATTATTATTATTCAAAGCTTCATAAATATGTTTTGATACTTAGTATAAATTATAAATATACATGTACTCTGAATCCCATTTTCTGTAAGGGCAATATTCTTTGAGCTATTGGAAGAAAATATCTATTTGTTCGAAGTATCCTTTTCTTCTCTGCCGGGTAGGTCTCTGAATTACAACATTCAGTTTTCTTTGTGTTTTTACTAGGCTATGGATTTATATCGAATTCATTATTCTTCTCTGACATAGATATACTCATATACTATTTTCAATGAATTAGTGTAACACAGATATCTTATGGAATGGCAAGGCTTTTGATTGACGCTATAACATGTTTATTATTGTCATTTCATGCTTGTTTGGGAGTCTTGTTGGATACTGTTTATTCTCATATTTCATATGTTTCTGAACTTTATTGCATATTCATCTTATATTTTCTGCATTCTGGCTATTCGTCCAGTCTGGTAGCTGTTCCCAAACCCAGAATGTGATTGAACTAGTTGTATTATATGTGACATGTTTACTTGTCAAGAACATTAGATATTCCTAGGAAGTTCATCAATAAGTAACATGAAGTTACTTTATGTAATTCTATAGTTCCATTATAGAACTTCAGTTCTATTAAAAACCAAATCTGTTAGCATCTTAGTAGATTTTTGGGGCAGTCTACTGATTAAAATTTTGGTATGAGCAACAAAGATAATCTATTTTTAGTTGATGTTATTGATGCACAGCTCTCTGAGAATCTTTCAGAATGACAATCTTGTGTTGTGTGCATAAAGGAACATAACTTTCAATCATATTAGATATGACCCTTATGGTGGTTGTTAATTCACTAAAGCGTACAATTAGTGGCAACACTGGCATATACAGTCTTAGTAATGGGAGTCTGAAAATCTAAAAATTGTTATTTATTGTCTATGCTGCGCAGGTATTGCTATCATGAAGCTGTACCTGATGCGTATGATACTTGTATGCTGCACTCGTACTACAACAACAAAACTGTCATTCCAAAATACACCTACAACAACAACAAAACCGTCATTCCAAATTTTTGGGATTGGATACAAGAATTCTAGTCTGTATTCATTAGATTCATGTCATGTAGATTCGACTATGTTTTACGTTGGCTGTCAGCAATAAAAAGATGGACAATATAGCATAGTAAAATTATAGACAATGCACACCGACACTCCTTGAATATATGCATAGATTTATTCAGATATGTACACAATAATATAAGATGTTTTAAAACACTCATCATATACTACTTGCATGTGCATCTTGCACTTCACATTCACTTTTTGGAACTCGTTGGAAATAGTTTGGGTTTGTTTCAGTCCATACCCAACTTAGAACTGTGATTTTAAAGGGTTGTTTAGGTATCTAGTTAAAAAACAAGCGGTCCTCCAATTTAAAATCTACATAATAAAAGATACATTGTAATGTTATAGGATTTTTAATTCTCATAGCATGTGAATGAGCGAATAATACTGTTCTTACGTAAATCATTAATGTCAATATACATACACTCAAAACGCAGACACACACACAAAGCCGTGATGTTATGCCCTACATTTTACCTATTTATCACTTCTAATACTTGCACCCATACCCATTTCCATGCAACATAGTTTATTGTGCTCTTGGAATAAATTAGTTCTGCTGTACTGCATTTGGCTTGGATTACTTCATTACACTCTTAACACCGCAAAATTCTGGAGTAAGCATGTTGGTCGAAGTTTGCTACTTTGCCCAGATAGAAATCATATTAATGTTAAATTTGTAAATTCTCTTTCAGATCTGAGCAAGACAAGGAACCTGAACAAGAAGCTGTTATGGAAGTTGCGGGTACTGGTGCTTCAGAAGAATCCGTTAACGATGGTAGGAGTCACTTCGTGCAATGCGTCATTAATTTTTTTTCCAGTGCTCTCCCTCTCTCTCAGCGCTTTCCCTCTCGCTTTGTCTATCTATATCATCTGTTAAATTTAGATCAACTAGTAATGTGTACGTTTTCAATAATTTGCTGCATGCAATTTTCATTTTTCTTCCAGCTCCACCGGAAATAGATGAATATGAACTTGTAGACCCTGTTGATATTCTCACTCCCTTGGAGAAGTCTGGATTTTGGGAGGGAGTGGTTAGTGATCTGTTACACATGCTGACAATATCTTCCCTATTTTAGTGCTTTCTTGTCATAAATATGTTTAAGAATCCAACTTTTGACTTCAGAAAGCTACCAAGTGGTCAGAAAGACGGGATGCTGTTGCAGAACTTTCTAGACTAGCTTCAACAAAGAAAATTGCGATGGGTGATTTCTCTGAAGTCTGCCGCACACTTAAGAAGGTAATATCAACTTGTGCATCTTTATGCAGCTGGAGATAGATTGTCCGGTAAATTGCAGTCTTGCAGTTGATCAGCATTGTTTACTCTCATGTAGCATCATTATGTACATGCTTATAGTTTGATCTAAATCTATTCATTGAATGCCATTATGTTTGGTAATATTTGTCACTTAACATGGTTAGTGCTATGTACCTGAAAACTGGTCGTCTTTGTTGCCTGATACTGTTTTATTTGTCTCCATTATGTAAGTTTTAATGCAAGAAATTTGTTGTAGCTGATCTAATATTGATAAATTGTTTTCTCTTCACATTTTCCTGGCTGCAGCTAGTTACGGATGTTAACCTAGCTGTTTCTGTTGAGGCTATTCAAGCTATTGGGAACCTTGCTCGAGGTCTAAGAAATCATTTTTCTGGCAGTTCACGTTTCTTATTGCCTGTGCTACTTGTAAGTACTGTTACAGTCTTGAGTACACATTATTTTTCTTAAATTATATTATATTGTATCCATTTTTTGTTCTTAACAGGAGAAATTAAAGGAGAAAAAAGCTGTTGCGACTGATGCGCTTACCCAGACCCTGCAGACAATGCATAAATCTGGGTGCGTAGCCCTTGCAGATGTTGTTGAAGGTGAGTACTTTGGAAATTTATTTATTATGCAACACTATATATATAGACACACATATACTAAATAGATATCTGTGTAAGTATGTGTGTATATATATGTGTGTGTGTGTACACGTATACATACTATATACACACACACACGTATACATACTATATAGGCATGTGTGTGTGTATATATATATATATATATATATATATACACACACACACACACACACACACACACACACACACACATAGATATATATATGTATAAATATATATGTATACACACACACACACATATATACATCACTTTTATAAATAGCAGTAAATAGCCCCGCAATAGCGGCACTAATAGCGTTAGCGGTCCCTTCCAGCGATGCTATCGCCCGCTACGCTATCGCGCAATAACGGTGACATATTGCGGAATATGTCTGATCGCAAAAGCGGTCAATAGTGTATCATAACGGTAAATAGTGAGCGATTGCATTCGAAATTTGCTTTTTGACTGCTATTTAAAAGCGGTTTGAGGCTTATTTTTTTAAAATTAAACTCAACCCTTGATCATTGTATTCCACCGTCTCTTGTGATTTTCAGCATACTTCCGTCACCTTTCATAGTCTCTGGCACCTACCTTCATACTTCCTCTCACATCCTTTACCGTGAGCTCCTCTTAGGGCAGTCCTGTCACCGCTAAGCTCTTCTTCTCGAAGACGACGATTTTTTGACTACTCCAGTCATCTTCAGTATTACGTGATGGTTACATGTCTATTTCATGTTTATGATCTCTTTAAATCATCCAATATGTACTTTTAAATTTCTTAGATTTTTCTTTAATTTTTTTAGTATTTATACATATCTAAATTAGATCGTTATTTGACTTTGTGCTTTTTACCGCTATTTTGCCGCAATAGCTCGAAATAGCCTTAGCGATGCCTCATCGCTACGCGACGCTATCCGTTATCGATAACCTTGATACAAGCTCCTAGATAGGTACTCCATGCCCAGGATGAACATGTAGGGGGAAAGAGGATCTCCTTGTCTAAGTCCACGTTCACCTTTAAAGTATCCATAAAGGGAACCATTAAGAGAGATAGAATATTTAGGAGAAGGGCAAAATAACCAGATTGGTATGTTTTTTTTAGTTTTGTCAAATTGGTATAAATTTTCGACTCCGGCGTCATATAGGCCTTAAATTTGGTCGGAGTTATTGTTCCGGCCAGGATTGATGGGATTTTTTGCAAAAAACCCCCTCATCAAATACAATTTCCTACTCCTAACCTCCCATCCACCCCTCTCCCTCCTCATCCTCTTCAACCTCCCCCTCTCCCTCCTCCTCCTCATCCTCTTCCTCCTCCTTACTTGCACTCATACGCTGGGGGGATGACTGGTTAATTGCAATTGCATGCAATTTGAGGATTTTCAATATCTATTAATTGCAACAATAAATACAGTTGCCATTGTAGTCGCAAACACAACTCCAAATACACTTGATAGCTCATGTATATTTATATGTAAGCTGCAGTTGGTATTTTTCAAGTGTTAGTTAATTTAGGATTCAGTCTACAACATATCTCCCATCATTCCAATAGAAGTTCAAAAAACCTAATACTCAAAGACGACAGATACCTACAGAACAAAATTTTAGAACTTAATCAAACAATTATAATTGATTTTTGTGCTTAAAATACAATTGTAGAGAATCAAACAGGCCCTAGATAGAGCTTCTTACAATCCAAGCACCAATAATGCTGTCATTGGGCAGTGTGCCAATTTGATAAAAAATCGGGATGGAGGAGAGAGAGTTTGGGGAGGCGAGAGGCCAATGAAGTGTAGTTGTAGAGAACGGAGACCATGAGAGGAGAGAGAGAGAGGTTGAAGAGGATGAGGAGGAAGAGGATGATGAGGAGGGAGAGGGGGAGGTTGAAGAGGATGAGGAGGAGGGAGAGAGAGCGGGGGGGGGGCTTAGGAGCATGATGAAGTTTTAATGAGGAGGTTTTATGCAAGAAATCCCGTCAGCACTGGTCGGAACAGTAACTCCAGCCAAATTTACGGGGTATTTGGTGCCAGAGTCTACAAAATATACCAATTTGTCAAAAGTTAAAAAAAATATATCAATCTGTCACCGAGTCTACAAAATATACCAATCTGACCATTTTGTCAGGGAGAAGATGTACATAGTGAAGTAGAAAAAACACCGCTTCAGGTTGCGCGCGGGGGGGAGGGGGGTTGAAATGGCAAATACAGGTTCCACATTTCCTTTTCCAAATTAAACATAACTCATCAGCTTGCACTGAGAATGAAAAAATGTAAAGGAGGTAAAGGATCCTCATTCAGAACTGTAGCCAGTAAGCCTATATGGCTTATCGTGAATAAAGGACAGCTTTTATGTTCTATTTTACTGGGTTATTGGTGAATGTGGAGTTGTATGTAAACAATAAGAATTGAATTGGAGGAAAATAACAAGGAAGTAGGGAATATTAATACTTGAAGCCGAGAACATTCTGGGATGTGTATATTATCTTGAGAGGAACATATGGGCACCAGAAATGTAGAAAACACTGATGAGCATCCAGGAATTGAATATGGAAGCAAGTCTAGGCGGAATATTGTTGAAATATCCAAGCATACTTCCAGAAACCCCACAAGGAAACCTCATGGAAAGGTTTGACAATTTTTAGGATCACCTGAAAAATTCTAATAGCCAAATTATAGCAATGCTCTATAAACAAGTTCTATGTTGCAAGTGTGATTGGGATAATTTGACCATCACCATCAGATATGTAAGATTATCCGCTGTGGGAAACCCAGTGCAGCAAAGATTATTATGCAACCTCATCAGTTGCATGACCTTGATCCAAAAAAGATGGCAACCCAGAATGCAAGAACACTAGATGCTTTGCTTCATATTAAATCACCAAAGAATAATAAGAAAATAAGCATATGAAGGCCACATGTTACATAAGCATCAACCGCTAGAATGAAACCAAAAGACCACCTTTTATACTCCAAATATATCTAGCAAGTGAGAATTGCTGTACTGATTGACATTCAGGGAAACTAAATGTTATTAAATTGATAACTGTTTATTCAAAAGCATACACAAACACATAGAAAACTACTTAATAGAAGGTCTCAAAAATATCATTGCGTGTGCAGTAATGATTTTGGGAGTAAAATTAAATAGATGTTTCCTGGATGCACGCCTCTTGCATCAACATAGCATGCAGAAATAGCAAGAGTTAATTGCAAATTGGGGTCTATCATCATTGTGCTGATAGACCCCCTATATTATTTGCCCAACTGTGGATAGACTCCTCGGTGCAACTTCTTTGATTCTTTTAATAACCAAAAAATTAGCAATTGGGGTCTATTCTCACTAATTACATCAGGTCTATCCGCCTCCTTGACTTTTTTGACTCTGCCAAGAGCCAAAAAATTCACTTAGGGGGTCTATCCGCACAAATAGAACTACATGGGGTCTATCTGCAACTGGCGAAAGTACATGGGGTCTATCCGCATTTAACTCAAACAAAAATAATTTACACAGTTCGTGGTTGTATATTTTTTGAGAACTAAACCATGCATAGTAGTATACAAGCCAGCTCCTGTTCTGACACTCAAGATGATTTCAAGACTAATGTTGTATAATTTTCTTAACAAACTTCCCTTCATGTTTTCTGACGAGAACATGTATATTATCTGGGGATTTTATCCCTTCATGAAGAGAAAAAGTAGTAGAAGATTAAGAGCTGAAGTTCTGGCAGGTAGGCAGGTACAAAGAGATCTTACTTGTTCTGTGAGGGACTTGATTACTTCCGTTGCAGCATTGCATTTTGCAGTTTCCTCTCCTGCCATTGCTGTGGCCTCCCTCAATCGCCTTGACGTTGTTTCCAACTCTGCTTCTAGGAGCTGACACTTGTGAGTTAGCTCTTCCACCTGCAGAACAATACTAAAGTTCATGAACTGTTCCATAAACCAAACATGTTCAGCATAAACAGTACTTAGCAAAAAAGAATACAGACAAAAAGATATAGTCAACAGATGACCTTTGAAGAGGCATATTGAAACTTTAAATACGACAACACTGTACATAAGTGAGATTTATAATTTATGTTATTTGCATACTCAATTTAAGAAGCTAATTCTCTCTACGGCCTTCGTCAAGCACCAAGGGCGTGGAACAAACGATTGGACCAGAGTTTGAAGGGCCTTAGGTTCGTGAGGTGTTCACAAGAACAGGCGGTGTATACAAGAAGCAATGGAGCTGACACACTCATTGTCGGAGTGTATGTTGATGACTTGATTATCACCGGCACGAGTGTGGATGAGATAAAGGGGTTTAAGCAGCAGATGATGGAGGAGTTTGAGATGAGTGACCTTGGATTACTCTCTTGCTACCTTGGAATCGAGGTGGACCAGAGAAGGGACTGTGTCACACTAAGACAGTCGGCCTATGCCAAGAAGGTACTAATGCAATTCGGGATGAACGAATGCAACCCGACAAAATACCCCATGGAACCAAAGCTGCAACTCGGAAAGGATGTTAATGGAACATTGGTGAATCCAACGGAATACAGGCGCGTCATCGGATGCTTGAGGTACTTGACTCACACCCGTCCGGATCTCTCTTATTCCGTCGGGTTGGTGAGTCGGTATATGGAGAGGCCTACTACCATGCATCACCAGGCGGTCAAGCAAATCCTAAGGTATGTGAAGGGAACCATTAGCTACGGGCTTGTGTATGGAAAAGGACATGAAGTTGAGGAGTTGGTCGGATTTACTGATAGCAATCTAGCCGGGGATGTCGATGACAGAAGAAGTACTAGTGGCATGGCATTCTACCTCGGCGAGAATCTGATCACTTGGGCATCTCAGAAGCAGAGAACTGTGGCATTATCCTCATGTGAAGCCGAGTTCATGGCAGCAACTGCAGCAGCTTGTCAAGGACTGTGGCTGAGGAGTTTGATCAGCGAGGTGACTGGTTGTAAGCCCAAGCCGATCACTCTTTACGTCGACAACAAGTCTGCAATAGCTTTAATGAAAAATCCAGTGTTCCACGGACGCAGTAAGCACATCGATACTCGTTTCCACTTCATCTGAGAGTGCGTGGACAAGGAACTGATCGTTGTCAAGCATGTGAGTACTGAAGAACAGCGTGCTGATATTTTAACTAAGGCACTTGCTAGAATCAAATTCAAGGAGATGTGCGAGCAAATTGGCGTCAAAGATCTGGCCTCCCCACGTCAAGATTAGGGGGAGCATGTTGGAATAATCATGACGTGTGGCTACGCCCGAGTCACGCGTGCAGGGGACCAAGCTGGACCGAGAGAAGTGGACAAATAACTGCATGAGTTAGTTGCGAAAGTCACCTGATCCTTAGGAAAATTTGTTTTAAATTTGTTACGTTTACTTATTTAAGCTAGTGTCAGGTTGTTTTAGAGTTGCAATTCAATCAATAAAATATTCTAAAACTCTCTCTGTGCCTTTGTTAAACTGAGTGATCTCAGTTTGTTTCCTGCGACAGAGTGATCTCAGTTTGTTCCAGAGTGTTTTCCAGCTTCATCATCATGTATATATATATATATATATATATATAATCCACCAAACTTTTTAGCCACTCATATTGCCTAGGGATCCTTGCATGATATGAAAAGGTTTTTAATATTAATAAATGAGTGGCTAGGTTTTTTATATATTTGTGTGTGTACGCGCACACACACAGCCACAAATTTTGTACTTGTATTTAATATCTAGAAAGATATATCATTTTTACTCATCTTTTCTCAAGTGTTATTGTTAACAATATCCTTCATGAAGAGGAGATTCACCCCTTGGAATCTTCAATACAACAAAAATAATTACGTTATAGACTGTATATGAAAGAAATCTTCTTATACATGTGTCTACACAGGCTTTCACCAATTCTAGTCATTGTTTTTATGGTGGAGAGGATTGATATAACATAAGGTCATGGTGTAGATGCACACAGGCCTCATGTCTGTAGTATGTAGCTTTATCGACCATATAACAAAAGGCCACATTATATGTTACCTTTGAAGAGCATGTATGTTGCCATTGGTCATTATTTGCTTATTTATTTGTCTGTTTCTGTTTGTTCTAATTTTCTCCATATAATTTCAGATATCAAAGTGGCTGTAAAAAATAAGGTTCCACTTGTCCGGTCATTAACATTAAACTGGGTCACATATTGTATTGAGACGAGTAATAAAGCAATTGTTCTGAAGTTGCACAAGGATTATGTTCCTATATGTATGGAGGTCAGTGAACTGTTAGCTCTTTATCTCTTACAGCTACTCTCTTGATAATTTGCATGACTGAAAGTTAAATATATGTTGCATTTTACTTATGCCTTCTGTTGACCTGTCTAGTGTTTGAATGATGGTACCCCAGAAGTGAGAGATGCAGCTTTTGCTGCCTTGGCAGCTATAGCTAAGGTAGTCACATCGTATAGGAGCTATTATTCTTTACATCTGGAATTAATTTTTCACTTTGCGTTGTTGTTTGCTCTTCTAGATGGTGGGTATGAGACCCTTGGAGAGGTCATTAGAGAAATTAGATGAAGTAAGAAAGAAGAAACTTTCAGAAATGATTGGGACTAGTGGTGGTGCGATCTCTGGGACAGGATCAGGTTTGAGATGTGTATTATGAAACATCTTTATATTATACGAAAAAAATTCGGCTATGCTCATGCCATTTTGTTGATATCAGGTCCTGTCTCAACTTCAAGCGGAAGTGTTGCTGGTCATGAGGTTAGTTGCGTAACTTATGTTTTCCTTTTCTATCCCCTTTTAGTTTTATTAATTTATCCTTTTAAGTTTGGCATAATAATGATTTTGATACAGTAGTCATCATCACTTATTTTCCATAATACGACGAACCTCATATCCGATTGATTATAACAGGTTGTACAATGTTGTGAAAATCAATTATCTTTAGCTTCATTGAAATATATCTGTCATTGTAGGATACAACTTTATGTATGCTAATATTCTTAATATATTTTTGCGACTGGTGTCAATTTTTTTTTGAGGTTTTTTGTGTTATTGTCATGACACCTATCCTCTAAATATACAGTTTTTGTTTCTATAAATTTGGGTGATATTAGCTAATGAGAAGTAAGTTGTAGCTCAGTTGAAATTGCATGATGTATCAAATTTCGAGGTTAAAATTAATCCATTCCTTTAAACTAAGGGTATTCCTTTCTTTGTTTCTTTAAAGGTCACTGACAGCTCATTTACAAGAAGATCAGCAGCAAGTATGCTTAGCGGGAAAAAGCCAGCCCAAGCAGCTGTGAGTTTGAACTCATGATATTATGCATGTTTACTGAGAATGATATATGTGCACTGATATGTGATCTGTTCTCTCTTTGATTAACTGATTCTGTCATACAGCCTGTTACAAAAAAAGGCGGCCCAGTGAAATCTGGCGCTATGAAGAAGGCAGATGGAGGCGGACAGTCCAATGCTATTGAGCTTGAAGATGTCGAGGTATTTCAGTAATAGATTGAATATTCATTTGTAAAATTTGAACTTCTATACAGAAGTTTTAGTAAATTGTTTAGTTGAAAGGATTTATTTTATACAGGCTAAATACCCATATTGGTATTTTAATTCCACACTAATTTTCAACAAGGTATTTTAAATAGGCAAACCCGCTTTAAGATATTTTAATTGATCCAACTAATCAATAAGGCATGTTTTCTCGTCGGCGGGCAAATTTCCGACGAGATCTCGTCACGTGCATGGCATGTGATGTCTCAAAACTCATTTTTAGCAGCGGCGACGGCAACAATCTCGTCATATTCAGCCCAAAGTAGGATAAAATAACGATTATGATGCCGCCTGAGATCGCTAACCCCATCGAATCGGCTGAATATGACGAGATTGTTGTCGTCGCCGCTGCTAAAAACGAGTTTTGAGACATCATGTGCCATGCACGTGACGAGATCTCGCCGGAAATTTGCCCGCCGACGAGAAACCATGCCTTATTGGTTAGTTGGATCAATTAAAATGTCTTAAAGCGGGTTTGCCTATTTAAAATACCTTGTTGGAAATTGAGGTGGAATTAAAATACCAATATGGGTATTTAGCCATTTTATACATGATATATCATGGATTGTCTTTTTTACATAATGCTGATTCATGACAATTCTGAATGCATTAAGAGTTTGTTCTCTTTTCTCCTCTCAATGTTTACAGCCAGGAGAGATGAGTTTAGAAGAAATTGAAGGCAAATTGGGTTCTCTTATTCCTGGTGATACAATCGCTCAGTTAAAGAGTAGCGTTTGGAAAGAGCGTCTTGAAGGTTTCTGTGTTATTCTTTTTCAGTCAGATGTTTTAGACTTTTAGTCCTGTGTGGTTTGGTTCATTTTGGTTGCCTTGACACAGCTTGGTCTATGAAACTACATAAAAGTTTTCCTTTCTTTGGCTATTTGATTTGCTTTTTTCCTCCAAATCGGTATCACATTCTCTGCACAGTGCACATTATGAGAAATTGTAGGAATAATCTGTAATTCTTTTTTCCACATCACTCTACGGAAGCAGATTAGGCTGTGGTGCATTTTTTATCTGCACATACTGTGTCCTCACCACCGCCCAGAGAAAGGATCAGTTCAACTGTCTCTGGATTCAATTTTAGTTCTGATTTTGGCATTTATAAGTATGAATATTAGAACACATTATGCAATGGTTTTTCTTATATTGACAAGTTTGCCTGTGACCATGCTAATTGTATATCACTTCAACCTGCCTAGCTCGGCGTGCATGTGTGTATTGATACATGCTTCCTGGCTGTATGTGCTGACCTTGTTCAAGTTGCATACTTGCATTTTATTATAAGAAGCAGCCCTCATGGTTTGGTGATGGTTATATTGGTTGCACCAAATTTTATCGGTTTTGACATGTGGGAGCCAACTTCTTACCCTCATAGATAACCTAAAAACTTATTGCTGACGAAAATAATTCCAATTGTACGCACATCATCCGTATTGAAAAACCCCTTCCACTGCAAAAACTCTCTATTTCCTTGGCTTCCTTATCATAGATGTCAGAGAGAGGGAGGCAACAGAGCTACAGATGCTTTTGTGTGGAGCTACTATCCGAGTTTCTTTAATCCTTCTGGAGCTCGGAGGTTTGTTTTTTTATCAGTGTTGTGGAAAATGGATAGCAACCCGTGCTCGGAGAACGCGGTTTAGACTCAGGAGCTTCCACAGCTAAAAGCATACATGATATTTTCTTAATAATAAAAAGTATAATAATGATAGAATTGTTCTTTCATGATTTTTATGAGTTGTAGAGATAAATACAGAAAATATGTTGCATCATCTTCAAGATAAATATATTATCGTGTCGTTAACCCAGAACATTTATCGAGGGTTAATTATTCCATCTTGTAGTGAACTAATTTTATATATGCAAGTATCTTTACATGTACTACAAAGAAAAAATGTCAACAGCATATAAATAAGATGCGCCCTGGTGAAAAGGGACTTGGTTAAGAAATAAAAATAAATAAATATCATAGATTACATGAAAAGATTAAATTTTGAATGATTTTATATGTTCATAACTTTGCATGCAACAAATACATTTAAGTCTCATGGCGATAATTAATCAATCATCATTATATAATATTAATGAGTAGAGAAAGGAGTTTACACCAATCTAAGACTTATAGCATGAACATATAAGAAAGTAGAAAAAGATAGTGAATACTGTGAAATCAAATTTTTTAATACTTAGCTATTGACTCTTTTAATATTTGTGAGAGCCTTTGCTACCATGAGAGTTTTACCAATAGGCATATTTTTTTAAAGGTATCAGAGATATAGGGGAGAGGGCCCTTTAATTGACACTGAAGTTCATTTTATCGAGTTTGTTGAATGGTATAAAGGAAATTCAAGGCACAAACTGGAGATTTGTTCTAATTTGTCCCTCTAAAAAGCATGTTAGGTGAGATTTAAGCCCCTAAAGCTTGCCAACTGGGAGCCTTTAAGTGGACCAAGGATTTTGTTACAATTTTAGGCATGAGCGAAGCACCCCCGGGATCATATTGACTAAAGAGGCATCTGTGATGCTTTTTATAAGAAAGTTTTTAATGAGTTTTCCCCATGAAAGAAACTATTATTTTGTGGATAGAGGGATCACTATTGCAAGGATGTATGTCTTACATGACTTGTTATCTGCAGTTCATTTGGATCATGGTTGGGAATTCATGATGTCTGATCTATGAGGCTTTTTTACAACAACGTTTTATATCATTATTGAGTTGGTCTCCATGAAAGAGAATATTATTGTGGGTAGGAAGATCACTGTCACAAGGATGCATGAAACATGACTCGTTATCCACAGTTCAAATTTTGGAATGTGGCTTGAACGTGCTTCATCTTATCTCGTCTATGTGGACATTGTACCCCATTAATCTACTTATTAGTACATAAGAGGTCGTACAATATGCAAATTACATGCCATCATGCTGTTTTTATATATGAAGTCCCTGTTGGGTTGCCTAAAATATTTCAAATAATAGTAAAAAAAATGGCCTTCCAATTGGTTTATGTGGTTAAATTCGGTTGTTACAGAGATTCTTAATCGGACCAATCTCTTGGCATGCAAATGCCAGTGAATTTCCATGATTTAGATTTAAATGAAGCAAATTTTTGTCAAAAATTTTCTTTCAAACTAAGATGGTTGATATACTGCCATTATTAGTTCTCTTTCTGTCTGGCTTTCTCTTTCTGTCTGGCTTTATAACTGATGGAGTTTATCCTTATCTAGCGGCCTCTTTCCTTTTTATTGGACCTGCATGTATGTTGTATGGGGATCATACCTTACTCTCTTCGATAAAACCTTCGTGAGATTGCTTTTTAGGCTATGCGAACCATCTTGTGCAGAACTAGTTGAGCACAGTACAGTTTTGTTTTTCTCCTCTCTTATCTGTGTATGGAAAAAAGTTCTCTTTTCTTTTGAATAGTCATTGTTCGAAAGAATATGAGTAGTATCTTGTATGCTGCTTTTTTCTACATCAATGTTGAATTTCTTCATTATGAATCTTTTTAAGTAACTCGATAATAATATCTTTTGCAGCAATTGGCTTGCTAAAGCAGGAGGTTGAGAATCTTGGGGATCTTGATCCATCTGCTGAGATCTTGATTCGTTTATTATGCACTGTGCCTGGGTGGGCTGAAAAGAATGTGCAGGTATTATATGTCCTTTTTGGAACAAGACGTAGAATCATTTATGTAAGGCTTATTGAACCTTTTCTTCATTTATGTAGGTTCAGCAACAGGTGATTGAGGTCATAACATATATCGCATCTACTGTGAAGCGGTTTCCAAAAAAATGTGTTGTACTTTGTCTTCAAGGTCAGATCTTAATTAAGCATGAATTTCTTGTACAACAATATTTGATCTTTTTTTCGTGTTCCTATCTTATTAATTTTAATTTCTATATCCTTTAACCAAGCATCTCTGATTTATTTGTGTTCATAAAAGTCTATAGCATTTTTAATTTATGCTGTTTTAATTTCTAATTGACACACATTGTAAGAAAAGTGGGAAAATTTTGCCATTTCTCGGTTCTAGAATCACTTCATATTTTATATGATTCTGAATTTCCTGCAACTTGGTCTTGGCTTTCTGGACAGTTGCTTTACAAATTATCACACTATTGAGTCCCACTCTAATCTTCCTTTTGACAGGTATTGGCGAACGGGTAGCAGATATCAAAACACGTGCTCAAGCAATGAAGTGTCTTACTAGCTTTTCTGAAGCAGTGGGACCAGGTTTTGTATTCAACAGAGTAAGCTTATATTTATGTTTTGTTGGCATCTTTTATCTTCATGCAGTGACGTTGCAGCTAGTTTTGAACAGTATTTATATTTAACTAGCCATTTTGCTTATATGTTAGCTCTACAAAATTATGAAAGAGCACAAGAATCCAAAAGTTCTCAGTGAGGGAATTCTGTGGATGGTCTCTGCAGTAGATGATTTTGGTGTTTCCCATATAAAGTTAAAGGTAATTGTATTTCGTGACGAAATGGTTCTTTGCCATAGTTTTACTGCTCTTTTACTGATTGAAAAATGTGATTTGTTCTAGGATTTAATTGATTTTTGCAAAGACATTGGACTGCAATCCAGTACTGCTGCAACGAGAAACTCAACTATAAAGCTTATTGGAAGCTTACACAAGTTTGTTGGTCCAGGTAAAGATCTATGGTGTTAACAGCACATTCTGATTCTTATGATTCGAATAGAGTTCTAATATTCACTTGCATGCAGATATTAAAGGTTTCCTGGTCGATGTCAAGCCTGCACTTCTTAGTGCATTGGAAGCAGAATATGAGAAAAATCCATTTGAGGTATAGGCATTCATTGCTGAACTATACTGCTATTGCCAACCTTTTGAACATCAATTTATGATACTTACTCGAGGTTATTGATAGGGTGCTGCTGCAGCTCCAAAGAAAACTGTAAAAGCTTTAGATTCCATATCTTCTGCCTCCGCTTCTGGGTTTGATGGTTTGCCACGGGAAGATATTAGTGCAAAGGTTACACCTAATCTACTAAAGAATTTAAGCAGCCCTGACTGGAAGGTGTGGTTGTTAAGTATTTTGTTTCTGTTTTTGTGTGTATATTTGTCATCAAGCTGTGCTTGCACTCTTTCAACAGTTAGGCTTATTCGTAAGTGCAGGTACGGTTGGAGTCCATTGAATCGGTAAATAAAATTTTGGAAGAAGCTAACAAACGCATCCAAGCTGCAGGAACCGGTATGCTTTTACGTGTTGCAACTCTAGGTGGATTGTGAGATTGGCAATATAAGCCTAACGATGTTGATTATTTCTTTTGCAATTTCCAGTTGAATTACTTGGAGCTCTAAGAGGTCGTTTGTTTGATAGCAATAAGAATTTAGTAATGGCAACCTTGACTACAATATCGGGGATTGCTTCTGCTATGGGTCCTCCAGTTGAGAAATCTAGCAAGGTTTTGCACTCTATTTCTCCCTCTCACTGGTTTATTTGTGCCCTGCACATAATTCTGACACTATAATTTATATAGGGAATTTTGTCAGATATATTGAAGTGTTTAGGTGATAATAAGAAGCATATGAGGGAATCCACATTGAACACGCTAGATGCATGGATTGGAGCTGTGCAACTTGATAAAATGGTACCTACTGATTAAGCTGTTGTGGATTTGTTCTATGGTTGTCTGTATATTGATCTATTTATATTTTCTGGACTTAGGTTCCATACATTACAGTTGCATTGGCTGACCCAAAACTTGCTGGAGAAGGGAAAAAGGATCTTTTTGATTGGTTGTCCAGGCATCTTTCAAAGAATAGTGAATTACCAGAAGCTTTGCAGCTAATGAGACCAACTGCTGCGGCACTCTCGGTAAGGCTTCAACTGCTAATTTGCAGTGACATTTATCAATTATATGGGTTCTTTAAACTAGTTTATCCGCTTTATCATCTTTCTTTTGGATAAAGAATTTGGCACCTCATTTAGATGTTTTTAAAGTTAAGCCACGTCTTCTCGGCAATGCAAGGATAAGTCAGCGGAAGTTCGGCAAAGCCTGGGCTGAGATCGCACTTTGTGGTGAAATTTTTGAGGGTTTGTGACCCAGAAATTGGTATGTTGGTTAAGTGCCTGCAACCTTTCTTCATGGCCTTGCTCTGCTACAGCATTATTAATCCCCTCCGCCTCACTGCCCCGCCCCCCCACACACACCACCCACCCACCACACACACACACACGGTCAAACATACACACATCAGGGACGCCACTCATCCACACCCTCATACACAACTCCATTTCACATCTCAAGCTCGTCTGTAAAGCCATTGCACTGACTGGGGTATTTGATGAATGCCATTACTGTGATTTTAGGTGACAAAGAATTTGAAGGATTTGCGTGGACCGGCTTTAGCTCTTGTGCTTGAACGCCTGAAACCTTCTGGTCTAGCTCTTTCTGAAGCCTCAGAGTCCATGAAACCTGTTCCTACTGGTCTGGTATCCAAATCTACTTCAAAGACTGCGAAACCAGCTCTCAATGGTTATGCTGCGTCTAAGCATGGCAGCAAGTCTATTCCCTCGGTTCGTTTATCTTCATTCTTACATAGTTCCTGTCCAAAATATTGGGTGTTTATTTATCTATTTATGTACAGAGAGGGTTGCCTACAAGGGCTTCAAAATCAGACCCTATTTTATCGGTTCAAGATATTGCAGTCCAATCTCAGGCTTTATTTAATGTCAAGGACTCAAACAAGGTCTGTTTGTATACAGCTGGTTACCACACATCTCTACGTAGTTTAAATTCTCATATGATTTGCTATAACACAGGAGGATAGAGAGAGACATGTTGTACGCAGATTCAAATTTGAGGATCCACGTCCTGAGCAGATTCAAGACATTGAGGTTTGATAGTTTGATTTTATTGAGATTTTTAACCATGGTGCTTTTTTGTGTGTCTGTATTTTCAGACTGAGATTTGGCACCTTCGGAAAGGATTTGTATCCAATCCCTTCTCATTCAAACTTGATGACAGGAACATCATATTAAAGATCCACTATCTCCAAGTAGATCTTGAATTCTATCAATTGAAAAAAAGGCTTATTTTGAGAATTAGGAATAGGCAGCTTTTCAATAACTTACTAGGAGATTTGGCAGTTCACATGTGTTTATAGTTTTACTTTGCTGAATGTTATGTCATATAAGAATTAAACAAGGAGGGTGGTATTGGATGGTATATGAGGACTGTTTCTTAGTTTTGGAGGAAAAATTTAAAACAATAATATGCACATTCTTGGAGGGATTTTAAAATTGCAAGGGTGCAGTGGACTACAAATAACCAGTGATCTACTATATGAATTTTCTTTCAGGTCGAAAGAGGTAAAGCTGAATTGGTCTAATTTTGGAAAGTGATTTTGTCTCCAAAGCCGGTTGCAGGCTGTTCTGTAATTGGTACAACTTTAGTTCATAATTGAGGTCTGACTTGAACTTTAACAAGTCTAGTATTATATCAAGTGGGTCCATTTTTTTTTTCTTTTCATTGTTTTCAAAGATATTCTACATTCACTAGAGTCCAATGTGATCCCCGACTTCCTTCGAAATCTAAGGGGTATGGCATAGGTTTAAGGCCCACAATGCTTTATGGATCGTAATGTTGGACAATAAGAACAAGAGTGTAGCGGAAATGAGGATATTATGGTGAACGAGTGGATATACACTACGGGTATTATAAGAAAATCTGTTGCATGGAAATGGGTATGGTTACAGACACGGGACGCTACAAATTTGTAAAAGATAGGGTACAGACACAACTATATACATATATTGATATTAATAATTTCTATGAGATGAATATTGTTTTTTCATTCACATTTTATTAGAATTATAATTCCTATTACATTTTTATTGGGTTTTTAGGGGTTTTGTATATATACCCCTCAAATCTTCCATATTTGCAAAATTACTCCCAGTTATATTTGCAAATTTACCTGCTAATTCCTATTACATTGGCTATTTCTAATCTACTCTCGCACCTAACAGTGTTAGATTTAAAACATAAACATGGAGTATTAACCTTTCTACCCCTCCCTCTTTAACCAAATAAAAACCTAAACTTCTCTCTTCACAATGTAGCAGATTCTTACATAATTTCTTACCAAATGAACACCCTCTCACATATGCTCTTCTCGTAATTATCATGGTGTTGCAATCACTTTAACTCCTAGAATCCTTAACAATCTCGTCAATAAATCAAATTCAAAACCCATCAACATAAATCAAGCAACAGGAAATATCACTCTCGTTATCCCTTAGAAATCAATCTTTTACACAATCTATAATCTCCAACAACCTTATCAACAATCAGAACCCAAACTCATTTAACAGTAACACTTATTTTTGTTATTCCAACTGCCTTCTCCTCCTTCCTTCTCCTTGTGTTCTTCATCTCAAAGCTCAGATCCATGTCCTCAATTACCTCAATAAACTTTACTAGAAATTTGAACTCGATAACAAGCAATTGAGAAAAAGAAATTTATGGCCAATCTTCCATGAAAACAAGAAGAGACAGGGGAAAAGAAGAATAAATTAGGGAGAAAAGAAGTGAGGGAGAACTCGTATATCAACGGGTTTAAGAGATGAATAAGGAAACAAGTCTACTTTTTGTTACTAAGATCATATAATTAGAACCAATTAATATTGAAAGGGTATGTTAGATATTATAAATTAAATTTCTCTTAATCTAACTGAACTTTCGGTAATATACCAGAGATAACATAATATCCAATGTGAGGGAATTGGAGGGTATATTTGCAAATATCTAGATTTTTTGTTGGGTGGTTATTTTTTGCAAATATGGAAGATTTGAGGGGGATATATGCAAAAAAACCCCTTTATTGTTTCATTTATTATGTAGATTATAAAGTGGATATGAAGTGTAGAATGTATGTACAAGAAGTGTACAACAAGTGCTTTAAATTAAAACATATGTTATATAATTGAGTATGTGTTGGAATAAAGATATCCATATATTCAAGGAGTGTCCAAGGAAGTTTTGGTGTGGAAACAGGTACGGGTTGGGTACGGCTTCAGATAGAAGTATCCAGGTAACATAGATAAGGAATGAGTACATTCGTAGGAAGTAGAGGTTGCTCCTATGAAGGACAAAATGAAAGATAATTGTTTGAGATGGTTTGGTCATTTGCTACGAAGGCCATTAAGTACACAAATTAAGAGAAATAATAAGATTATAATTAATTGAGAAAAGACTATAGGTAGGCTTAAGAGAACTTGGTTAGAAAACTACTAAGAAGGATGTGATAAATGATAATGTTGAACTTAGTGGAGTAGATAGCCCTCAGCGGAATTGAATGGAAGAGTAGAATTCATATAGCTGACCCAAATTTGGGATAATGGCTTTGTTGTCGTAGCCACTTTTTTCTTTTTGAAGTCAAACACATCATGAAAGGTGTCTGCAGGGATGGAGAGAGAATATAACATGCAAACGTCAAGTGGAGCTGGGTGAATCCACTTTTTTTAGTGTTAAACACTATTACACATCAGGAATATGTGTCTGCAGAACTCAAGTTAAAGTCTTGTAAATTCCAGTTTACATGACCTATACCTCCATTTAAAGAATGGATTTCTAAACTCCACAATGAAATGAGGCCTCAATAGTTTACAATTTATCAGTTTATATCAGGTATATTTTTGTTGTAGGAACAGCTGAGCTCACCTTGAATATATATACTCAAGAGTCTAGTTCATTGTTCGTTTAAAGTGATCTTAACTAATGTTTTAAAAGTCCTAGCGCCTAGGCGGTACCTAGGCTGCCCACCTTGGTTTTGAGAGCGCCTAGAGGAGCGTGGTCTGCCTACATGGATTGCACATTATAGACATTAATTGTGATTTCCTCCATTACAGACTCCACGCCATCTGACCTCCAAAATCCAACTATGAACACCTCCTTTACCTCTCCCAACCTTCAACAAAACCTACTTCACCACAACTTAAGAATTCGGTCAACCTTCAACAAAACCTACTTCACTACAACTTAAGAATTCGGTCAAAGTGTCAGTCCATTGCCTAAGTTTTCTATAACATGGCATTTACGATCAATAATTGTAATTAAAAACTAAAAAATAGGAAAATGTTTTGGCCTCACCTAGGCTCCAGGCGTCGGGTCCAATGCCTAGGCCACGTAACGCTTTTTATAGCCTTGATCTTAGCATAGAGTTCGTGACTAGTTGCTTCAGTTGCAGTTTTTGATTGAAGTATTGTTCATATTTCTTATTCTAATCCCCTGTGCAACTTGTCTTAGAGGAAACTAAAATTAGTATGTCATAATTTACTGTTAATAATATGATTTCACCTAATATATCTGTTATTTTGTAGTACGATTTTGTGAAGTATTTCAGAGAAGACGTACATAGACGTCTTCTTAGTACTGATTTCAAGAAACAAGTGGATGGTCTTGACATATTGCAGAAGGTGTGTGTTTATTTTTATATTTTTTTCTACTTTTATCTGTATTGTGTGATTATTGATGCTTCTAAAACATCTGCTATCATGCAGGCTCTACCATCAAGTTTGAAAGAAATAATTGAACTTGTTGATATACTTTTAAGATGGCTCGTGTTGCGCTTCTGCGAGTCCAACACTACATGCTTGTTAAAGGTTGCTTGTTTATTTGACTATAGTCCTAATTCTCTCATTCAAGTGCTATATTTGTCTCTAGAAAATAAGTTCTGAGTTGTTTATCTACAATCTAATATGGGAAACAGGTCTTAGAGTTTCTTCCTGAACTTGTTGATGGTCTCAAGGAAGAAGGCTATACTTTAACTGAGGCTGAGGCTGCGATGTTTCTCCCGTGCCTTGTAGAGAAGGTTGATTCATTTGTCTATTTTATTCCTGGGGAAATAATTTGTGCTCACAAATTCTAGCAAACTCTGTTATAATTAGGAAGTGATGAATTCCTAAGTGTTTTCTATCATTTGAATTTTATAGCATGCATTCTTCAGAGTTATCGGTGTTCTTACCTAATGATCTCTTACCTGTCATTGCTCTTCTTACTTAATAAGTTTAGCTGCTCTAGTTCTCTTTAGTTTGTTTATTACAATCAGGTATGCTGATTTGGTTGATCGTATTGTTGTGATGCAGTCTGGACATAATATTGAAAAGCTGCGGGAAAAAATACGTGAACTGATGAAGCAGATTGTTTCTATATATTCTGCATCAAAGCTGCTACCTTATGTCTTGGAGGGGTTGCGTTCAAAAAATAACCGAACTCGGATTGAATGTGTCGACCTTGTTGGCTACCTTTTTGATCATTATGGAGCTGAGGTGCATCATGCATATCTTTGTACGTTGTTAGCGTTTTGGTTCGTTTCTTATTTATATTGTTTGTATCTGTGTTTGCAGATTGGTGGGCAGTTAAAATCCTTGCAACTTGTTGCTGCTTTAACATCTGAGCGAGATGGTGAAATTAGGAAAGCTGCCCTAAACACGATGGCTACTGCTTATAAAAATCTTGGTGAGTTAATAGATTAAAGTTGGCGTTGTAACTGAACCATTCATCAAAACCTTTATATTACAATTGTTCATTGTACTGGAAATTTGTCTCATGTTTGTATATTCTCTAACCTTTTTTGTCCTGATCATCTATATACTCATTTGCATTTATTACAAGAGAACTAATATTTTATACTGACCTTATTGATGCCTGCGTAACTACTTGATCTTACATCACTGTTTTTATTTGCTCAGGTGACGATGTGTGGAGGTATGTCGGAAAGTTATCAGAAGCTCAAAAGAGTATGCTAGATGATAGATTTAAGTGGAAGGTTAGTACATGAAGCTGCCAAATCTTCCTCTTTCCTAAGACATTCATGACGCCACATGCATTAGATACCTGGTGAATCTCTTGCTGACCATACTCCATTTCCCCTTAATTTAGGCTCGGGATATGGAGAAGAGGAAGGAAGGAAAGCCTGGTGAGGCCAGAGCAGCACTACGTCGATCTGTGAGAGATAATGGGTCTCTCTCTCTCATATGCTTGACTTGTTTTTTTTTCTTTTCTTTTGTGTGTGTGTGTGTGTGTGTGTGTGTGTCAAGTGACAAACTCAGTTACTGGTTTCAAAATGTCACATGTTACTCCTTTCCGCTCCCTCTCAGCACACCTATATAATGCTATGCCTGAAATATTATGGATCTATAGTTTGCATAACTACTTAATGTAGCATTTAACTTGCCATGCATACCTTCTTGGTAGCCCAAGCCCCCAAAGAGTCTTATGTGTGTTTTATTTTCTTTCATTAGAAGGTAACTTTAATTGCTAATTTAAAAAAAATATCCATGTAATAGTAATGTGATATGTTATTTTACAGTTAGCACATGTTAACCTTGCTTCATATACATTGTTGGTCTAAAAGGTAGTTGTCTGATATGGTACCAACATATTTCAAGAGATCTTTGACGTTGAAATGCCAATTTTTTTTTTTTTTTAAATCTCCATTGTTTTCCCTTTCAAAGTGATTCAATTTGTTCAGGGACTTTTCTAGATTACTGGACTATAAGGGGTCGAAAAAAATGCCATCAACTTAAGCTTTTGAGAAAGTTGTCTGCCAGACTGCCACGATTACATGCAAGAGCGAGATTATCTTTTTTGTAGAAGGTTTCTAAGTTCTAACATATCTGTACTAACTTTACTAGACTTGTCAAATTGAAACAAATAGAATGATTAAGCACAAAAATCAAACAACTTGTATTTATCAGTTTCCATTGGAATGAATATTTGTGCCTTGTTTTCATTGTCATGTTTATGAAGCACTTACTCACATAAGTCAATCATTCTTTCAACTGCAGCTTGAAATGCATACTCATGGTGCTAATTTACAGTTTTTGCATTTAACATAACTTTCAGTTTTGAAAATTTCAGATTAGATGTTGCAGAACAGAGCGGAGACATCCTTTCCCGGTCTGTGGCGGCTCCTCTCCTGCCTAGGTATCCAGAAAATTTTGAAGTTCAGCTCTCTGTACTGTCTGTGTATGAATTTTAAATGTGGTTAATTACTTAAATTTGTCATATTTGTTTATCCATTATCATTAGGGATAATTTTGGTTTTGCCGATGCTCACATGGAAAGGCACATGTTACCCCGGCAAATGGCGCCTGTAAATGGTCCAGCAGACTGGCATGAAGCTCTTGATATAATCGCATTGGGGTCACCAGAGCAGGTGGTTTTTGTTATTATAAATATTGTTTCATATTGCGTTAGTTTCTGAAATTGGGTAGTTCCCAGTACCTACTATTAACTGTTTTTTCCTTGCCTACTGATAACATGATGTATCGAATAGTTATGTCAGCATTATGTTTGTGGATACTTAGCTTCTAAAGTAATCAGGCTTCTGTATGTTTCTGTCTTGTTGATGCGTTCTTTTTGGTTGCATTTACCTATTCATGCACCAAAAATAAAAAGATATGTAAAACCTGTTACTGTTATAGTTAGAGAATTGTTTGAAGCAGGTTTTTCTCTCTAATGCAGCAAGTAACTAAACTAGACTGAGCCGTTTTAGTTCCATCAAAAACTTAATCTAATTAAAATTTGAACTTCTACATTGGAATCACATTTAGGGTGAGGTATCTACATAACCACCATTTTTTATTTACCTGTAAATTCAAGTTGATAAAAAAGAAAAAGGAAAAACTACTTAGTTCTCAAATTGCCTCCGAGCCTATACTGCCTCCAGTTTTAGCCACTGAAACCACAGTATGAATGAAAGAATTACTGTCTGTGGATAAGGACCTATACCGAATAAAAGCAAATTGTAACTGTTGGTGTCAGGTGTTGCATATCTGGCTGAAGATGCTAAATAGAAAATAGATAGGACCACTCCTAGGACTATGAAAGGGAATAATACAACTTGAATTTCAATAGTGTAGCTTATGATAATCTGCTTCTCAATGGACACAGCCTTATTAAAGCTGAATGGTGGAAAAGGGTTTGTATGCTAGACTTCGGATAAACTTTTCTGATGTTTTTGTTCCCGAATACCCGATTTTCTTATCTCCTATTTAAACCTTGTTCATGCTAGAATTTGCCCCTAGTGTTGCTAGGAACTAAAGCTTAATTTGAACCATTGTCTTAACTGTCAGGAGACACGTTTCTCATGTGAATTGACATGTTGTTTGAGTTCTGTATGCAATGATAGAGAAAGAGATATACTTTATGTTATCTTTACATAAACTTCGGTGATATATAGGGTTTGACTCAATCCTGGTATGATGTTTTGCACATGAGTTCAAATAGGTTATCCTTCTTCATTTACTTGCTATCATTATAGTTTATGCATGGCAGTGTGCAATATCCATTTTAGCATGGCAGAAAAATGACCCTGTTAATGTGCTTATTGGGGTTTAGACAGTTGAAACTGAGAGATTAATTTATGACTCATGGTAAGCATCTGTTCTCACTTCTCGTCCATTATTGTGACAGTTGTTGAATGCATGTGTCAACATCCAGTATTGGACATGTAAACTCCCAGTACTTGCATGAGCTTGACATCGGCCATTTAGAACCTGATCTAGAAACGGTGTGAAATGAACACATCAATGATGCAGTAGCAACAACAAAATGACCCTAATGGATTGATGAAAAAAGATGGATATTTATTCAACAGGTAATGCAGTAAGAACAACAATGATAACTCCATCGAAAGAGTTTTGTGGAGTCATGTTCAAAGAGGGTTAGAAACAAATGAATATTCTCTTTTGCCCATGTACCAATACTTCTGATTCAAAACAGCTTACATGTCGGATATTCGGATATCAACATGACAAGATGCGAACAGGACTTTGTCCACTACTTAGATGTTATACCTTGTGTTCTATCGCTGTGCTCTACAGTTTGTTTGCTTTATTTGTTTTTAACTAGAGGATGAATCTGTTAATTTGAATTGATAGAGCTCATTCCAGGTCTTCTGCTAGAGATAAGGGGTTGTTAGACATGCACTTTGGAGTCTTGAGATGTTTTCTCTCATGCCAAAATTTAAATTTGTAAATCTATAAAAACATCGCAATAGTAATATGCTATATCTTTTTCACTGACCACCCTTAGCCATTACTCCATTAGTTGATGAATTGTTTCTTTTTTTGCCTATGTCGTCCTTAAAATGGTTTGTTAGTTTTCCGACTAAAGGTGACTGATAATCGTGTCAAATGAACTGAGATCAGGGTTTAACTATGTAGATACTCGTGGCAATATTAGTTAATGAATGGCATGACCAATTATGTACTACCAGGAGGAAAATTGTTTCCACAATTTCTGTTTCTTTCTGTTAATCAGTTTTTGGCTAGCTGATTTGTTCTCATTTGATGATTTCATTTCTCTGGTGCAGTCAGTTGAAGGCATGAAAGTTGTTTGCCATGAGCTGACTCAAGCCACTGGTGATCCGGAAAGCAGCACAGCTGAAGAGCTTGTTAAGGAGGCGGACAGATTAGTTTCATCTCTAGCAACTATGGTAATTACTTCTTGTTTCCTGCTGCATCTTATCATCCTCTTTGACTTACACTAATGGTCAAATCTTGCAGGTTCCAAAGACCTTCAACTTTAGCCTATCTGGAGCATCTTCGCGGTCTTGTAAATATGTTCTAAACACACTTATGCAGGTATGTAATTTTCTCATTTTTTCCACTGGCATGTTTTAGCTTTATTAACTATTTTAGTTTTAGAGGCAAATTATCTGATAACCCGGATTGATGCAGACTTTCCAGATCAAGAGACTCGCTCATGCTGTGAAGGAAGTTACATTAGACGATCTAATTACTGAACTTCTTCTATGGCTATTAGATGAGAGAGTTCCTTTGATGGATGATGGCAGTCAGCTCCTGAAAGCACTTAATGTCTTGATGCTAAAGATTCTGGTTGGCTTTCCACCTCGCCCCAACTCTATTCTCCCGTCTATCATTTGATTTCTGACCTAAAATGGCCCCCCTTGAGCAGGATAATGCAGAACGGACATCATCCTTTGTTGTTCTAATTAAGTTATTGAAACCCTTGGATCCTTCAAGGTGGCCAAGCCCCACATCAACTGAGAACTTCATCACCAGGAATCAAAAGTTTTCGGATCTAGTAGTTAAATGTTTGATCAAACTGACAAAGGTAATCAACAGTATCTTCTACGCTCCTGTTGTTTTTCTTCTCCTATTGCTTTCTCAGAATTCTGGTGATCTATGATCTAGGTCCTCCAAAGCACAATTTACGAAGTTGATCTTGATAGAGTTCTTCAAAGCATTCATATATATTTGCAAGAGCTAGGAATGGAGGAGATACGAAGAAGGTTCTAAGCTATTCCTAATATATATTCACTCTTTTATAAGACCTCCATTGCAAGCTTAGTTTCTTAATATTTGATTTTCTATAAGTAGGGCCGGAGCTGATGATAAACCACTGCGAATGGTTAAAACAGTTCTTCATGAACTTGTCAAACTCCGTGGCACGGCCATTAAAGGCCACCTCTCTATGGTTCCTATAGACATGGAACCTCAGCCCATAATTCTTGCGTACATTGATCTGAATCTCCAGGTAAGCTACAAATGCAAATGGATTCATGCTTAAATAGAACTACAAGCTTGCAAGTGGTAGTAATCAGTGTTTATTATTTTCAGACTCTTGCTGCTGCTAGAATGCTTACCCCATCTGGTCCTATTGGACAAACGCATTGGGGTGATGCAACTTCAAACAGCCCGAACCCTACAACACATTCTGCAGATGCTCAGTTAAAGGTGCTGCTTCACTGTTATCATTAGTGCTTGCTATTTGTTTTGCTTTGTCTCATATTTATGCTTATGCATATTTGAAACCTCATTTGACTATCCTGCTACTTTTCTTGTTGCAATTTACTTGCGGATTTTGGAAACAAATCACATCTATATGCAGATTTTAAGCATGGTTTTTTTAGAGTTCGCTATATTTTATATATTTTACTCTGAGGTGCTACTAGAAGTATATATCTGTTTCTGTTCAAGTTATCCCGACATCCTTCTTTGGATTCTTATTTAAAACAATCCCTGAATGGAGAACTATACAAACAAATCTAATTTCATCTTATTTAATACCCTTGCTCTTGAGCATGGTAACATAAATAGAGAACTATACAAACAAATCTAATTTCATCTTGTACATGGTTTGCTTGCTGATTTAGTGTTTTTTCCCCTTTATTCAATGCCCTGCTCTGGTTGTGGAAACAGCAAGAGCTTGCCGCTGTCTTCAAAAAAATTGGTGACAAACAAACCTGCACAATTGGTTTATATGAACTCTACCGTATCACCCAACTTTACCCCAAGGTAACCTCATATTTTTGACTCTACTTGAAAACCTAGATCTATATTGCTTGCAACAATGCTGCCTAACATACAAGTTGTCATGTTAGGTTGATATATTCGCTCAACTTCAAAATGCAAGTGAGGCTTTCCGAACGTATATCAGAGATGGGCTTGCACAGGTTTGTTGGAAATATTGTTATGATATTGTAAATGGAATTTTGGAAATCAAATGATCTGTTTGATTTTATTTTATTTGCATTTTGGAACACACAGATGGAAAAAAATGCAGCGGCTGGAAGGACACCTTCAAGCCTCCCAATGTCGACACCTCCTCCTTTAGCTTTAAATGCTTCTTCCCCAAAATTTGCCCCCCTCTCTCCTGTACATACTAAATCAATTAACACAAAACCTGAAAACGCCCCTTCAAATTTACAAGTTCCCTTTACTGAAGATGATGGTGTTAATGCCACTGCAGCCTCTTATAGAGGTCAGACTAATTTATCAGATCAGACGCATATGGTAGATGACCGTAACGATAGATACCCATCTGGAGGTTTCTCTCTCTCTCTCTACATGCCTATATTTGTGTGTGCTTGCTTGAGCACTTGTACGTCTGCGTGTGTGCATGTGTGTATAGATATCTGTGTAGATACATGCTTATATGTGTATATGTTTGGTGGTTTCTATGTATATAAATATATATATGTAGTATGTACTGACACATCTATAAATCTGTAGATATCTGTGTGTTCGTACAGACATACATATGTATGTTTGTGTGTTTGTTTGTATGTATGTATACATACATATATGTATGTTTTTGTGTGTAGGAAAAATAGGCATCAGGTGGCAGCTCCACTTTTTTGAATGAGCTATTAAGAGATAGTGAAGTTGTATGCCCACCCTACTAGTCTCCTCTGAAGTTGGGCTTTACAACTCTCTATCTCTCTCTCTTGATAGCTCATTTTGCCAACTGAGCTTCAAACCCATTTTCGTGCGTTTAACACGCTCTGTGGCTTATTACTGAGCTGAAAATTTGATTTGCAGCTGCTGGATTAACCTCGGGGACACTTGATGCTATCAGAGAACGGATGAAAAGCATTCAAGCTGCAGCTGCTGCTGGGAATTTAGAAGGTGCAGCACCTAGACCACTGATGAGTGTAAATGGCAATGCATACCATGGCATGGACCGAGCTGAGTGCGAACCACCCGTACAGAGTAATATTCTTCCTATGGATGAAAAAGCACTATCTGGATTGCAAGCTCGGATGGAGAGACTAAAGCATGGATCCCTTGAACCTCTTTGAGGGAGATAAGCTAACTTACCGATATTCTTTTTGGCGTGGTTTCTTGTACATGAAAACAGTACAAAGAGCAATATTGTGCGTGCAAATATAAAATAGAATGTTAGGATGCATTAAATGATGCGACCTTGATTGTCACCACCTTTGTATTTTAGAGTTCTGTTAACCTCATTGGACTGCTTTGGTCCAGGTGGGAGCAGATGTAAGAAATTCGTTATACAGATAAGTCTGTGTGTAAGTGTAACATGGCTAGCTTTCTAACATACATTTCTCATAAAGCTATTTATTTGTTCTACATATTTGTTTCAATACTGGAGGTGAAGTGAGATCCATATGTAAGCTGCTATCACGCTACCAACACTCCCTCAGCTTGGAAAGGTACTTATACCTCCTCCGTTTCTTGCAATATAGCAAAATGGGCAGTCACTATCACTTTGTAATGGATGAACAAAGAAATTCCCGAAAGCTCCAAGTGTTCGTCCCTCTTTTTATTTTTGGGTAGTATTTCTGCCAGTAGTTCCAATGGTATTTGTAGTGGGGGTGGGGTTGGGGGGGTGTAAAAAGTCTCGGCAAACATTCTAAAAGCAAACTCATTATTCAAATGTCACACCGCAATTTGTTCCTCACTTCAAAGATCAAAGTCCACCAAAATCATGTTTTATCATCTTGGACTTCGTTTATCCCTTTACAAAATGTCTCATTGCCTCCTGCGTCCAGACAGTAGGATTTCAGTATGGATATTTTCCCTAGTTTTTCTATAAGGAGCATCAATGATGGGTTTAATTTTATTTAAACTAGTGTGCAATATATGCATTGCAAGACTGCAAGTGATGCATGTTGCAAGTGATGCATGTTATGAAAACATATGAGATGGCCAACTACTATACACACGAACCTTTTCGATATCTAAGGAAAAGTAGAGGCTAACTACACATAATTATAAATATGCCATTTATTTAAGAGTCACTATTATCAACGTAGGTCTTCACAACAATCTTCATTGAGAAGCGGGAAAAAAAAATTGACATGTTCAATAAAAAGTGCAACTTGAACAAAAATATAAAAAGTCTAACAATCAAAATCTTCTAAAAAGTGACCACAATTGAAGATCTTGCGAAGTACTTTTTTTCTTTTTTGTTAGAAATATAACTAGGCAATTTAGACATAATACTTTTAATAATTTATCCCTCCTCACTTTTATCTTATCTCCTTTCTATTGTTCATGTCCTTTATCTCACTTGCCAATTTTCCATACATTTTTGCTTTAAAGTTATGTGCTTGAAATCCTCATCCTCATTGCCTTTTATTGGGTTGAATTCTCCCAGCTTGCAAATCCCTTGAGTAATTATTCTTCTTTCATTTCTCTATGTCCAATCTTCTTATGCAATTTTATCAAGAAAAGACTTTCTTTACGGTGACAGTTCATCATTTTCTGTTACATATGTTATAAATGCTCCTGCGTATATTTTTGGTTGTTTAGTTGTTTTTATTAAAATTTTTTTATAAAAAAATATTATTTTAAACATTGCAAACATAGTATTAATTTTGTGGGACAATTTCACATATCCCCCCCACCTCCCACCACACACACACACACAAAATGAAATTTGGGGGCTGTTGCACATAACCGTTTGGAACATTGTTTATCTTACAAATAGGCCTCCTGAAAATTACAGTGCCTCATAAGACACACCTAAACTTAAACCTTCTCCGACGGACCCCCACCTCCCCACCCAGTTTGTAATTTGTAAATAAGTAAAACATTCTCGAGAGGAAAATTTCTAAACTGTCATTATTTACCATTTAGGGGTAACACAACCCCTCCCTTAAATTTTGGCTTTTTCTCTCCAACGAAATTTTGGTTTGCAAATTACACGCAGGGGGAACTGGTGAGAAAAGTTCAAAGTTCGGCGGTTATGTGAGATAAACAAAGCTCAATGGGGTTATGTGCAACTACGCTACAATCTTTTGTTTGGTTTTATGGGCAAAGATGGACCTTTTTTTTTGGAAATGAGCCTGCTTCAGAGCAAACTCAGGATTATAGTTTATAGAGCTCTCTTGGATTTTTTTTTAAACTTCTATATGTAGAACTTCTAAAAATAAATTTGTGCAGAACAATATGCATAACACATGCTTTTTCTTTTTAATTTAGTGTCATCTTTAATTAACTCGAAAGGAAAATTTTTAAAATTTGTCATGTGTCATTTACCGGTAACATAATACCTTACCTTAAATTTTGCCATTTTCTCTTCAAGGAAATTTTGGTTTGCAAATTACATATAGGGGGATCTAGTGAGAAAAGTTCAAAGTCCACAGGGTTTTTTGAGGCACACCATAGTTATCGCATATGTTTTATATGCTCATACATTTTAGTGTGCCAATTTCTAGCAAGTTATAGCATTTCGTTATTATCTTGTCCAACGACATGCATGCATGCCTGTATTCATTAGTTATGCGTATACAATATATATCTTCATGATCAATACCAGATATTTCTGAACCTTTATTACATCCTGATTCATAAAAGTGAATAGATGCTTTCTTTTATGTTGCACTTAGCATTTCTTATCTAGAAAAAAGCAATTTAACTGTTCTCGTACATCGCATGCTCGTAAAGAGAAGGTTAAATAATATACAGGTTAATTCATAGGAAGCTACAATAGGCATTCAATAAACTATCATCAACAATGCAAACATATAAGGATAAATGCAATTCAATCACTGAATGCCCATTGTAGTTCCTATGGTGGTTTATTCAATCATTGTAACCGTTAGGACAGGTAGTATCCCCAACGGTTGGGCCCGTTGGGATAGAAAAACCACTCGTTGCTGCAAGTAGCGTTGGGACTGAAACGGTCCCAACGGGTGTAAACTCTACACTAACGGTTCCACCCGCTAGTATAAGTAAAAATATAATTAAATATTAAAAAAAATTAAATTATGAAAAAGGGCACCAACGGTTACAACCGTTGGTGCAACATTCTGCACCAACGGTTACAACCGTTGGTGCTGTTATTTGCACCAACAGTTGTAATCGTTGGTGAAAATATCGTGCACTAACAGTTTCAAAACTTGCATCGACGGTCCCAACCGTTGGTGCTTGTGTTTTTCCTTTTTTTCACTTTTACCTACAACGTTTACATATAACATTTCCCACAAAAATATATAATATACATGTTCACAACATATATATTCCCACGCATAAAATAAAAGATTCACTAGAATCAAAACACAACACCTTATAAAATTCAGATTGCACTAACATTCAATCATAACAATATCATAATTCCATAAGAACCGATGACCATACACATCTAATTTACCAAAAGCAGGACAAACCAAATTGTTAATTCAACTCCTCCAAATGGTAATTTCTTTACATTTGCTTTCTGACAAACATTTGATGAATGCTATTCCCTATGTTAAAAGTCAGGTCGTAATACAAAGGCATGGTGCAAAGGGAAAGTGATATTTCTAGCCGTCAAACCCAGGATCCTCTTTACACCAGATTATCTTCAAAATATTTATCTTTTATGACATTAGCCAGACATTTTAAGGTCAGACTAGAATCCTCTTAGGCTCTTATACTATATACATGTGTCCACTTACCAAGCATCCCTTCTAGAGAATCTAGAAACCTCGTCACAAAGCCATTTCCCTGTAACAAGTTTAACTTTATAATATTCAATACTAAGGACAGCCATTTCACTGTAACAAGTTTAACTTTATAATATTCAATACTAAGGACAGCAATTAGGTACCCCAATGTTTTTGTCTAAACTCATATAGAGAGATTTTAGATTCATTCGATAGATGAGAGATCATGGCACAAACACATACAACTCCCAAGCACCCTGATAATAAACACTTAAACAGCTGCATATCATGGAAATGAGTAGCTAATGGAGATGTTAGATCAAGCAAACCAAACCTAATTATATGTGATAAAGCATGATAAAGCAAAAAATGTCCTAAGGAAATTATACGGAAAAGTAGTTTACCAAAAACAGAAAATGAATCATGAAAATGTTAAGTTTCAGATTTTATCGGAGTTATAGTTCACAGAATTCAACCTGCATTGGCTAATCCTTTGTTTTCTTTTTCATTACAGAATTCCAAATCTAACCATCAGATTTTTCACATCCTTTCTTCTAAGACCATCTCCAACGCGACGCCATTTTGCCGCAAAGAGGGATTTTGCCGCTGCTCCGGAGCTCCAACGCAACGTCATTCTTACTTTTACCACAATTGTATAATTTAGACAAAATAAATTATTTTTTATGGCTAAAAATAATGCTAAAATTTAAAAGACATTATTATTAATTATAATATTAAAATCTAGACATACATAATATAAAACTTCATTAAAGAGCAATCATAATACATAATTCAAATATAAATTACATATCTGAAATACATAACATATAAAAACTGACACACATAATATAAAACTTCATTAAAATAAAACATAAAATACAAACTAAACATGGTGACGTTACTTAAGATGGACAAGCAACTCTCAATAATCTGGTAGATCGGGGCCAGAGTGTCCAATATCATTGAAATAATTGCCAAAATTAGAAGCAGACCCTTGTTCTTGTTGATTTCTTTTTTGTATTATTTTAATCTGTTGAGCTCGAACGTACTCACGCACGTTTGGATCAGCAATGGAATTCAAATCTTTCATTATAATTTTCCATTCATCTCTATCTTTTTTCATGGCTATCTTTTCTCGTTCGATATCAAATGCTACTTGCCTGTCCAAGCTCGCCTTGTCTAACCTGTCTATAAGTCGGTTATTGGAGGTCTCGATGGAGTCCACTACACTTGACTCATGATCATCATTTTTCCTTTTCAATTTGGCTTTTTTTTTTACCCCAATAGGTCGTTTAGATGGAGTAAATGATGACAGTCCAGGAGATGTTGATATAGGAGATTCTGGAGTGGGATTATCTGATTGTGACGAGTCAAAGTTCACACTTTGGGGTTGTCTTCGACCAACTTGTCTTGCTGTGGGGACATCATCTTTAAATTTTTTGAAAATTTTAACCATATTCCAGACATGATCAAATTTGAAACCTTTTTTGTACTTTGGTTCTTGCATAAATAACATCTTTGCGCGAGCTAACTGCAAATTTTAGTGAATATCAAGTTATGTATTTCAACAATAATAATAAATTTCAAAAGGTAATTAATAGAATATTTACAATATCTTCATCTGAAGCACCACTTGGATTCAGATTCTCTACTTGTCTCAAGCACGCATTTAATTTTCTTACTTCATTACTTATGATTTC